CTTTCCCTTAGATGACTTCCTATGGAAAAATCTGAGCGCCAGCTGGTTTCTTCCTGAGGGAATGTCCCTTTGGCTCTTTAGAGCCATTCCTAATCCTTATGACCTGACCACTGTTCTCACTAATCCAATGAAGCTCAACCTCTGCCTTCTGAAAAGGGACGGTTTGCAGCTTGTCCCTCTGGAGAGTCCTGGTGGAGCACTGTGAGCAAGCCAGCGAGCGCCAGGAGGAGGATGCAGGTTGCAGCACTGTGTGTTGTGTCAACTCTCTGCTCTGTCCTTTGGAAGCAGCATTTCCAGGGGGTGATGCAGAGGAAGGAGTCGTTCTCTTCTCAGTGCTGCTGTTGACTGTTGACTTGCCTTGTGTATTAGGGCTTAGCAAAAAGCTGCTTTGTGACTTTGTTTCCTTGTCCATGCAACAGGAATAGTATTATCTGCTACCCAACGGCTGTGTCGTAACGATCGAATAAGTAATTTTTTTAATCATTGGGAGACGGATGGAAGGCATTAGAGAGGAGTGAAATGCTCTAATGAAGCCTTAGCAACCGCCTTTGCCTGTTTTCCCTGCACACCCTGGCATGTGGCTCGCATGCAGCGCTTCCTCGAGAAGGAGCTCGCTGGAAGCATGCATCACTTAGAGGCAGAGTGGTAACAACCAGCTTCCCTGGCTGCCTCCCACCGAGGCCTAGGTGTAAGGATAAATGCCATAAGGCCAAAACCATCAGAGAACTAATCTCTGGGTCAGTAGCTCAAAGCAGTCCTTCGCCATAGACCTCAACCCACGTAGGACCAGAGGTGGGGGCGACAGAGGAGCCTTGAGCAGAAGCTGCAATTCCGCGTTGCACAGGGCATCTTGCTGCAGGGGGTATAACTGATATACCCGAATCCTGCAGGATGCCTTCTCTCCACGTACTTTGGACTCAGAATAGCGGCGGTTCGTTAGGTGGCACTATAGGCCCATGGCTTCACGGGCGACTGCAACCTCTAGAGGTCTCAAGGCCTGGGGTTTGCAGGCTCAGAGGCTTTACTGCCCTGTTTGCCTATGTTTTCCCAGAGAAACAAGCTGTCCTGACAGTACTAGAACGACGCGCAGCCAGTATTGCAAAAGCAAAGCAGCAGCAATCAAGATTTCCAGCGTGGCCCCCCCGGGGCCTCAAGCCTCCAATAATTGTCCCGGAGGGACTGAATGGCTTGGGGTAAAATCAGAGCAAATGACTTATGCTCCACCTGCCCACAGTCTGTAGCTGTACGAAGGCAGCATGAAGGCCAGTGCGGTGGGACTGCTCTTTTCCCCCCAACCGGGCGACACCAAGGCCAGGTTCCCCTGCAGCGCTGGGAAACGTCCTCTCTCGGACGTCCCACAGAGGGGCCTCGAAGGCTGCTGACAATCCAGAGGGAGCAACACACTCTTAGAGATGCAGCACCGGCACCGTGCCACTGTCCTTCTGCCTCCCACCTCTGCTGCAGGGCTGTAGTGGGGGTCCCTGGCCCCGGGGCTGGAGCCTGCTGTGCTTTTGAGTAGAAGATACCCAACGCATCTGGGGTTGCGCTCCTTCCACCGAAACGTCCTGACCCGAACCGGAGCAGGGAAGGTGCCTTTGTCCTGCTACACCCCCACCCCCCAAGCCACTTACTTCCTCACCTTGATTTCCTTGGCATTTTTCTGGGTAAATATTTATACAAGTTTTCAACGCCAGGGAGAGTGCGGGCAAGATCTGGGAGTGCTTGCCTTGCATAATTTAGTCGAAGCTTTTTAACTCTCTTCCCTCGGCACTGCCAGTTATTCCAGGCCTGACTCAGTCCTCACAAACATACGTATTCGCAGCTCTACGGAGGCACACCTGCCTTCGCTGACAGCCGCCACGGCTATTCTCTGTCGCGGCGCCCCTGCTAGAGCTGGGCCCGGGCTCTTCCGTCCCAGCTGGCAGCTTAGCTGATCCCCAGCCCCGGGTCAGCAACCTGCAGCCTACTCAGTGCCCTCCTGTCAGAAACTGAAAGATTAATGTCCTTGAAATCCCTAGTAACCACGATAATTTTATTTTGAGTGGGAAAATGGGCTGTTTTTCCCCTTATCTAATTGATTAGGAATGTCAAATATTCTTTTCTGTACACCGTGCATGCCTCTTATTTATGTAGGAAGCAGCTGGTCTAGGGATTCAGCCAAACACTTTTTTAAGCTAAAAAATTAAATTTTCTTTTTTCTTTTGTGGAGGGGGGAGATGTCACTGTATTTCATCACAAGTTGACAGAATCCCTCTCTCAGCTTTTCCCTCTGCGTCCTAACACGTCTGTGGGAAACGCTTGCCACGTCCCTTCTTCAAAGAAAACTGCAGGTGTCTGGGAGAAAAGGGCTGAGGAGGGAGCTCTGGTAGAGGTGTCGGTGTTGGAACGTAGTCAGGCCGATGGGACATTTGCAGTTCAAGAGCCACATCTGGGTGCCTGAATGACATCAGAAAAAATCTTGGCTTTTGTCTAGATAGATTTCTGCCGACTTCTATTTATGCACAGTGCTGAGCAGTACTAGATACAGCAGTTACTATCTAGAGAATGATATTAGCTTTGGGTCCTCGTGACTCTGTAAGTAATGGCTTTCTGTAATGGGCTTAAAATGGAGCATACGTTCCTGTTTTTCTCGGTATGCAGTTATGCTTCCCATCTGAAATTTTACAGGGTTAGATTGCATTTCATAAAGTTTTCTTAGCAAGTATCTGCAGTTCCAGTGTAGTTAGATTTGTTGTTGATGGAATCTGTTCATGTAATCTGGCTGACAGTTAAAGCACTGTAAACTTGCAAAATCTGGCAGAAAGATAGTTCCTGATATGATTTGATCAAACCTGATATGATTCCTGATATGATTTTCTGGTATGATTTAGTCAAATGGGCAATTGAAACCCCTGAAAAGATTTAGTATTCTTTAGAGTCACTTGTCATCACACCTGCAAGTCCATGCAAGGAAGGCTGCCAATCGGTAAGAGTATGCTGTAGAATAAACATTTAAATAATTTAAACAGGAGGAAAAATAGACAATTGGCATTATAGGTGTCACCAGGAAACAGTCAATACGTATGTACACCTGGCACAAAACTCCAGTAGAAGTGGAGCATTAATCCACCAGCAAGGCTGCGATCTCTTTTCCCACACCAGCAAATCCCAGTTGTGTTCCTGCTCCCACTTTTGGTGTAGGCACCACCACGTGTCAGAGACTTAGTTTTGTTAGCCTTTCACTGCTCCATTTAACAAAAGGCTTCATCCCAAAGTAGCCTGCTGCAGCTCCGCCTGACCATAGGTAGTAATGGTGGGAGTGGATAGTCTGATAAAGGGGGATATATAAAAGAAGCGGTAATGGGGATATTATAAGGCCACATATTGAATGAGGTGCATAAAAATATATCTCAGATAATATCTCCATTCACAGAAGATGACAGCAGCAACAGATTAAAGTTAACCTTGTGTTCCCCTAGGTGCTCTGCCTTCTGCAGGAAAACTGATGACCTAGCCAGAAGACTGGATTCAGGGTATCCGACCTACACATCCACAGACTGCCCTAGCACAATGCTTTTGTACGAATGTTGCGATTTCATCAGCCCAGTACTTTGAATCTTGAATTTAAATATTGATGATCTAAGCTTCACTTGAACAGTAATCTTCCTTTCAATGTAGTTTAGGCATCATCTGCAGGAGGTTTAGACTTCATTGGAGAGAGCTGGAACATGTCAAAGAAATGGGATAGTGTCTTATCTCACCTCTTAAAAATGCTCACC